ACCCCTTGTACAAATGTACCCCCTCTTTACCTGATATTATCCCCCTCTTTAGCTAGCAACTTCTGTAAACGAGTACCCCTACCACCTCAAATCTCTCACCTACCCACAGGCCCTTGGTACTGCTGGGGTCATCATAGTAGGGGGGGGGTAGGGGAGTGGGCGGGATAAGGCATCACCATGGAAGCGGCTCATTTCGGGCCGGGTATAACCGACGGACTACCGTTGAAGTTTGTCAGACTTGTACTGAGTCAAAGTAATACAGATATCATGTCAACCTTAATTGCAACAAGACAGTCCGGTCACACGTTTGCTCAAGACCGAGTTGAATGCACACGAAACCAGAATTGAGGAGCCTATGAGAGATAGACAACTGTATGCCAGTGAGGCCCAGGCTAGCATCCAGACATGAGAAGACCTTAGGAGCAAGACGGCTAGGAAGGCCTCCTCTTCACTGTTACTGACGGTGACGCGTGCTACATCGCCGTCCTGAAACACATCAGAGTCAGGTTCGTCTGGGGGAGGTGAAAATCATCACGCGTGCTACCGTAGTACATCGCCGTCCTGAAACACAGAATCAGGTTCGTCTGGGTTTACAGGAGAGTTTTGTCAACCCGGCGCCGCAATCTTCCATCAATAACTGAGTGAGGCCCGGCCCCTTTCCCCCGGTGACCCCCCCGGGCCGCCGGGTGGACCCGGCCAGCCTATTACCATCCGAGTCCGTCACAAGGCATCATAACACTGACACTGTACTACCGGGCATGTTGCTGGGGCGGGCTTCCGAGCTGGTCGGCCCCATGGCGGTGCTGGAATGCCGGGGCGGGCCTAGCAGAAGTTTGTTGGCGGGAAAGTAGTACTACGGTACCAAGTTCAGCACTTTGTACGGGGTCGTGCTAGTACGGTACCTCAGCAATAACTGTTTGTAAATGCCGAATGTAAGTTAAGTTAGTACCAAAACAGATATTTTCATACTCTTTACAATGATTGAAGTATTACCATCCAAATAATTTGTATTGTTCTATCTATCATCCTATATATATTTAGCCGCTCATTCTATCGAATACCAATC